CTGAAATATGCCGTCCTTGAAGACTGTCTTGAATTTCGCCTCGACATCATGCAGCAAAGCCAGCCGCTCCCGCACATTGGCCAGCGCCAGGCCGTGGCCGCGCTCGCCGGCGCCGGCCGGGGTCGAGTTGGTGACCTTGATCACCACGGTGCTGCCGCGCTTGAGGGTGGAAATCCGCAGCTGCGCGCCGCTGGCGCTGGGCTCCACGCCGTGCTTGACGGCGTTCTCCACCAGCGGCTGCAGCAGCAGCGGCGGCAGCTTGGCCTGGTCGGCGTCGGCGTCCAGGCTCCACTGCACCTGCAGGCGCTCGCCGAAACGGACCTGCTCGATGGCCAGGTAGCGCTGGGCCAGCAGGATTTCCTGCCCCAGCGTGACGGATTCGGCCGGGTCGGCCAGCGCGTGGCGGAACAATTCGCTGAGGTCTTCCAGCACGGCTTCGGCCTTGGCCGGCTCGGCGCGCACCAGCGCAATGGCGCTGTTGAGGGTGTTGAACAGGAAATGGGGGCGTATGCGCGACTGCAGCTCGGCCAGGCGCGCCGCCGTGGCCGCCGGCGTGCGCGCCTTGGCGCGCCAGAACAGGCCCGCCAGCAGCACGGCCGACAGCAGCGCACCCGCCGCCGCGCTGGCCTGCCAGGGCGGCCGCAGCAGCAGCCCCATCACCGACAGCAGGCCGCAACCGTACAGGCCCGCGCCCGCGCCCAGCAGCACCCCGGCCGTCCATTGCTGCCAGTTCCTGAGCCGGTTCAGCCGCGACTTGAGGGCGCAGGCCACGATCAGCCAGGCCAGCGTGGCCGGCAGCACGCCGCCGGTCAGCAGGGCAAAGCGCAGCAGCCATTGAAGGGGGTTGTCGGCGCCGAACATGGCGGCCACGCCCACCACCGTTTCGGCGAACAGCACGGCCCGCAGCACCACGCCGACCTGGCAGGCGTCGAACATGCTGGCGCGCGTGCCGCCGCTGCGCCGCGCGGGCTCCTCGTCGCTGGAGATGACGCTGCCCAGCAGCGTGGATTCCCCGAAATTGTGCGGATCTGGCGAAGGCTTCATGGTGTGGCGGGAGCGGGCTCCCGGGCGGATGAGAAACGGGTTCCTAGGCACATGGATAAAATCACCGAGATGCCGAGTATTGCACCGGTCGCGCCCCTGTGGCGGCGCCGGGAAGACAATCAGGGCCGCCGCCGGCCCGTGCTTGCCCAGAATAGCGCATCCGGCGCCCCGAATCCACAGCCTGCCCGGTACAGCCGGCAAGCTGGCCGCTACCCTTAGAAAGCCCGACGTGAACCAATTCGACAAAAAGTCCCAAGCCTGGTCTGCCCTGTTTTCCGAGCCCATGAGCGACCTGGTCAAGCGCTACACGTCCAGCGTGTTCTTCGACAAGCGCCTGTGGCAGGCCGACATCGCCGGCTCGCTGGCCCATGCCGAGATGCTGGCCGCGCAGAAAATCATTCCCGCCGCCGACTACGCCGACATCCAGAAGGGCATGGCGCAGATCACCGCCGAAATCGAGTCCGGCGCCTTTGAATGGAAGCTTGACCTCGAGGACGTGCACTTCAACATCGAGGCCCGCCTGACCCAGCTGGTCGGCGACGCCGGCAAGCGCCTGCACACCGGCCGCAGCCGCAACGACCAGGTCGCCACCGACGTGCGCCTGTGGCTGCGCGGCGAGATCGACCTGATAGGCGGGCTGCTCACCGACCTGCAAAAAGCCCTGGTCGACATCGCCGAGAAAAACGCCGAGGTGATCCTTCCCGGCTTCACCCACCTGCAGGTAGCCCAGCCCGTGAGCTTCGGCCACCACATGCTGGCTTATGTCGAGATGTTCAGCCGCGACGCCGAGCGCATGCAGGAGATCAGGAAGCGCGTGAACCGCCTGCCGCTGGGCGCCGCCGCCTTGGCCGGCACCAGCTACCCGCTGGACCGCGAGCGCGCGGCCAAAACCCTGGGCATGGTCGATGAAATGGGCAAGCCGCAGGTCTGCCAGAACAGCCTGGACGCGGTGAGCGACCGCGACTTCGCGATCGAGTTCACGGCCGCCGCCTCGCTGGCCATGGTGCACATCAGCCGCATGAGCGAAGAGCTGATTTTGTGGATGAGCCAGAACTTCGGCTTCATCCACATCCCCGACCGCTTCACCACCGGCTCGTCCATCATGCCGCAGAAGAAAAACCCCGACGTGCCCGAACTGGCGCGCGGCAAGACCGGCCGCGTGGTCGGCCACCTGATGGGCCTGATCACACTGATGAAGGGCCAGCCCCTGGCCTACAACAAGGACAACCAGGAAGACAAGGAGCCGCTGTTCGACACCGTCGACACGCTCAAAGACACGCTGCGCATCTTTGCCGAGATGGTGGCCGGCATCACCGTCAAGCCCGAAGCCATGGAAAAAAGCCGCGCTGCGCGGCTACGCCACCGCCACCGACCTGGCCGACTACCTGGTGAAGAAGGGCCTGCCCTTCCGCGACGCCCACGAAACCGTGGCCCACGCCGTGAAGGCCGCCACCACGCACGCGGTCGACCTGTCCGAGCTGCCGCTGGCCGTGCTGCAGGAGTTCAACCCCAGCATCGAAAAAGACGTCTACGACTGCTTGAGCCTGCGCGGCTCGCTGAACGCCCGCAACATCCTGGGCGGCACCGCGCCGGCCCAGGTCAAGGCGCAGATCGCGCGGCACCGGGCGCGGCTGGGCTGAGCTGAAGCACCAGCGGGATATGTTTTACGCAATTCCGCTGGAAAACCGGCCGACCTGGCGCAACCCGCCCTGGCTGACGATCCTGCTGATCCTGGTGAATATGGCGGTGTTCTGGGGCCCGCAGCGCGCCGAGGAAAACGCGCAAAACAAGGCCGCGGCCTTTTACCTTTCGAGCAGCCTGCCGGCGCTGGAGCTGCCGGCCTTTGTCGGCTGGCTTGAAGAGACCGGGTCACCGCGTGCTCCGGCGGCCAGGCGCATGCTGGAGCAGCGCCGCTACGGTGCATTGCTGGACGGCCTGGAATACGAAAAAACCTTCCTGGCGCGCCTGCACGCCGGCCTTGTCGTCCGGCCCGGGAACCCGGCCCATGAGCAGTGGCAGCAGGACAGGCGCCGCTACGAAGGCATGCAACCGGCCCCCTTCACCGCCCACTGGGCCCAGGACAACAGCAAGGACGCGCCGCTGCGCCCCGTGACCTGGATCACCGCCGCCTTCCTGCACGCCAGCACCTCCCATCTCATCGGCAACATGGTGTTCCTCTTCCTGTTCGGCTTTTCGGTCGAACTCGCGCTGGGCCGCGGCCTTTACCTGGCGTTTTACCTCGCGGGAGCGCTCGGTGCCTCGCTGCTGGCCGGCTGGGCCTATGCCGGGCAAGGCGGTTACGGACTGGGCGCTTCCGGCGCGGTCTCCGCCTTGATGGCCATGTATGCCGTGATGTACCGCCTGCGCCGCATCCGCTTTTTCTACCAGCTGTTCTTCTATTTCAACTACGTCACCGCGCCTGCGCTGCTGCTGCTGCCGGCCTGGATCGCCAACGAGGCGCTGCAGCATGTCGTCGGCGGCAAGGGCGTGGCCTATATGGCGCACCTGGGCGGGCTGCTCACGGGCGCGATCCTGATGGCCGCGGCCATGCACTGGCGCAAGCTCACGCCGCCCCCTGTGGCGGCCGAGCAGGCCGGCGACGGCTTCGACCAGCATGTCGCCGAGGCCAAACGGCTGGCGGCCGCCATGAAATTCGACGCCGCCTGCGCGCAATGGCGCGCCGCGGCGAAACTGCGGCCCACCGACGGCGACGTGCTGCGCGCCTGGTTCAACACCGCGCGGCTGCAGCCGGCCGGCGAAGACTTCCACGGTGCCGCGCGCCGCATCTTCCGCCTCGCGCCCAGCGACGACGCCACGCTGGAACTGCAGCACGCCAGCTACCGCACCTACCTCGACCAGGCCAAGCCCGGCGCGCGCCTCAAACCCGACGACATGGCACGGCTGGCGCGCCGCTTCACGCGCGCCCGCCAGTTCGACGACGCCGACAAGCTGTGCCGCGCGCTGCTCAAAAGCGCACCGGAGCATTCGGGGCTGGCCGACACGCTGGGCGTCTGTGCCCAGGGCTGGCTGCGCGCGGGGCAGCGCGAGCGCGCCCTGTACTCGGCGTCGCCGCACCTGCAGGCGGCTCGGCGCCCAATGACATCGGCCACGCGCACGCTGGCGCAGGCCTGAGTCCCTAGCTCAACCGCCTCAGGCGGCCGGCTGGTCGCGCAGCAGCCAGCGCACCTCGCGCGTCGCCTCGCTGTCGGGATAGCGTTCCTCGAGCACGGCCAGCACCGGGCGGGCCATGTCGGCACGGCTCATGCCCTGGGTCAGCACCCGCGCGATGAGCTCATAGGCCTGGGGGATCGCGGCGTGGCCGCGAAAGCGCTTGTCGAAGCTGCGCAGCACGGCCAGCGCCGCCTGCGCGTCGCCGGCGCGCCAGGCGGCGCGCGCCAGGGCCAGCGTCTGCTCCGCATCCTCGAGGACAAAGGCCGGCTCACGGGCGCGGCAGTCCTGCCAGGCCTTGACCGCCTCGGCCCCCAGCTCCTGCTGCAGCAGCAGCGCGATAAAACGTTTCGCATGGTCCAGCAGCGTCGGCGTCTTGTCGGCCATCAGCAATACGCGGTGGTAACGCCGCAGCGCGGCGACGTCATTGGGCCGCAAGCGCTGGTCCTCGTAGGCGATGTTGAGCGCGGCGGGGATGTCGCCGTCGGTCACCAGCTCGGCCACCAGCGCGTCGGTTTCCTGCCGCGCGATCTGCTCGGGGCTGCGGCGCTCGGGCGGGGCTTGGTCCGCGCCGGCGCCCGGCAGCAGGTCGATCTCCAGCGCCTCATGGTGCTGGTACATCACGTAGCCGAGCAGGCTGGCCATGACCCAGCCGAAATAGATGAACGCAAAATTGAACAGCGGCACCAGCAGCCACAGGCTGACCAGGGGCAGCAGCAGTGCCAGCGCGACCTGCGCGCCGCTGCTCAGCAAGAACAGGAACAGGCACAGCGCCAGGTAAGGCGCGCCGAGGACCTGCACGACACGCCAGAGCGCGGCCGGGTTCAGCGAGCGCATCGCGCTGCCCGATTGCACCAGCACGATCACGGTCGCCGGAAACAGGAAAGAAAGCACAAACGTCCCGGCCGTGGCGAGCTTGCTGTTGACCGAGGCCACGAAGCCCAGGACGACCGCCTGCACGACGAAGATGCCGAACAGCTTCCAGGGAAGGCTGCTCCACTCGTCATCCAGCTGCGACGGGAAGTCGCGGGCACGCGCGATGCCGCGCGAGCCGAGCACCGCGACCTTGAAGCCGTAGCGGCTTGCGGCCAGCAGGATGCCAAGCTCGACGATCAGCCACATGAACACCCGCGGCAGGAAAAACAGCACCTCGGGCAGCAGGCTGCAGAAGGCCAGGAACAGCCCATAGGCCAAAGGCGTGGGCTGGAAGGGAAATGCAAAAAATTTGTTGAGGCGGTGCCAGAAGGGCTTGACCGCAGGTTTGCCGGCCGCCATGGCTACAGCACGCCCTGTGTTGCACCGGACCACCCCACCCGCATGAACACTCCCATCCCGGCTCCCAGTTGTTGTGCGGTGATTCTAGACGGGCCCCCTGCCTTGCTCCTTCGCCCTTGGGAGAAAGAGCAAAACCGGAAGCACACTGGATGCCGGTTTTTAAGCCCCACCTAAGTCAGTGCATGCATACTTGTACCTTCTGAGTAGGGTCCCCCAATGCGTTTATTGCTGGTTGAAGACGACACCATGATCGGCGAGACGGTTTTGCAGGTGCTGCGCGCCGAGCATTACGCGGTCGACTGGGTGCGCGACGGCCGCATGGCCGACGAGGCCCTGCGCAGCGAGCACTACGACCTGGTGCTGCTGGACCTGGGCCTGCCGCAGCGCGACGGCCTCGAAGTGCTGCGCACCCTGCGCGCCCGCCGCGACACCACCCCGGTGCTGGTGGCCACCGCGCGCGACGCGGTCGGCGACCGCATCGCCGGCCTGGACGCCGGCGCCGACGATTACGTCGTCAAGCCCTATGACACCGATGAGATGCTGGCCCGCATACGCGCGCTGATACGCCGCAGCGCCGGCCGGGCCGAGCCGGCCTTCGAACACAAGGGCGTCAGCCTGAACCCGGCCACGCGCGAAGCCAGCCTCAACGGCCAGCCCGTGACCTTGTCGGCGCGCGAATGGGCGGTGCTCGAGCCCCTGCTGGCGCGCCCCGGCGTGGTGCTCTCGCGCGCGCAGCTCGAGGAAAAACTCTTCAGCTGGAAAGACGACGTCAGCAGCAATGCCGTCGAGGTTTATATCCACGGCGTGCGTAAAAAACTCGGCAACGACGTGATCCAGACCGTTCGTGGGCTTGGCTACCTGGTGCCTAAACAATGAGCCTCCTGACAGGTAAGGATTCAAGCACCACCCCGGACTCCACACCAGCAGGGGCCGCGGAACCGGCTTTGCCGGGCCGCAGGCGCAGCGCCCCCCCGGGGGGCAGCGAACCACACGCAGTGGGGAGCGTGGGGGCTCATTCACTCAGGAAGCGGCTGCTCTGGTTCGTGCTCGCCGCCATTCTTGGCGCGGCCGTCCTGCAGGCCGGCACCGCCTACCGCGGCGCGCTACGGCAGGCCGATGCGATGTTCGACGAGCACCTGCAGCAGATGGCGCGCTCGCTGCGCAGCGGCGTGCCCCTGAACCTGCCGCTCGAAGAAGCCGACGACGACGACCGCTTCGAGGTCTATGTGCAGATCTGGGGCCTGGACGGCACGCAGATCTTCCGCTCCACCCGCTCGGCGCTGCCGCCGCGCGCGGTGCTGGGTTTTTCCGACGTCGAGGCCCACGGTAACCGCTACCGCGTCTACACACTGCAGACCGCGCTGCAGACCGTGCAGATCGCCCAGGACCTGGATGCGCGCTCGGCCCGCGCGCGGGCGCTGGCGGTACGCGCCGTGATGCCTTTTGTGCTGCTGACGCCGCTCTTGATGCTGGCCGTCTGGTGGGTCATCAGCCGCTCGCTGGCGCCCATAGAACGGGCCCGGCGCCAGGTGGCGGGCCGCCGCGCCGACGATTTGTCGCCGCTGGCCGCCGAAGGGCTGCCCGACGAGGTGCGCCCGCTGGTGGACGAGCTCAACCTGCTGTTCGGCCGCGTGCGCGGCGCCTTCGAGGCACAAAAACATTTTGTGGCCGATGCGGCGCACGAGCTGCGCTCGCCGCTGACGGCGCTCAAGCTGCAGGCCCAGGCCCTGCGCCGCAACGGCGACACGCCGGCCGAACGCGAGGCCGGCATCGCCCGGCTCAACCAGGGCATAGACCGCGCGATACGCCTGGTCGAGCAGTTGCTGGTGCTGGCCCGCGAGGAAGCCGGCGCCGCCGCGGGTGCGGCCGGGCCGGTGGACCTGCAGGAAGTCGTCAAGCTCGCGGTGGCCGACGTGCTGCCGCATGCCCTGCACAAACAGATAGACCTTGGCCTGGTGGCGGGCACCCCGCCGGCGCAGCCGCTGCGGGTCACCGGCCAGGCCGACGCCCTGCGCGTGCTGCTGCGCAACCTGCTGGACAACGCCGTCAAGTACACACCAGCCGGCGGCCGGGTCGACGTCTCGCTGGCCCTGGCCGACGGCCACCCCGAGCTCGCGGTGGAAGACAGCGGCCCCGGCATCCCGCCCGAAGACCGCGAACGTGTGTACGACCGCTTCGTCCGCGCCGGCGCCGAAGG